GTAGGAAAGAATTTGCTGTTATCGAAGGAATTTCAGGGGAGACTTTGGGGGAAATAATTTCTTCAAAGGACCCATAAAGGCTGTCATGAGAGAAAGTATTGTATCTCAGGAACACAGAGGCTACATGGCAACAATAGCATTGGCCAGGTAGAAACTTTCCTGCTCCCTTTTCCTTTTTCTCTTGGATTCTAACAGTAGCAAGATTGGGCACGGAAGTGTAGAAATGTTAGGTGGGGAAGAGGAGAGATGGTAATTATTCCTTCTACAACTGACTGTAGGCTTCCAGTCCCTCTAGGAGGGAGCTTGAACAACCCAACATGCATATATTTAAAATTTTTATAGCATGTTTATTCATAATAACCAAAAACTGAAAAAGAGGAAGGTCCTCAAGAAGTAAATAGATAAACAAGTCGTGCTGCTTTTATACACTGAAATAATATTCAGTAAAGGAAATGAATGGACTATCGATATTCATGGATAAATCTTACAGACATTATGTTGAGTGAAAGAAGTAAGATATAAAACTGTTCAGACTCTATGATTCCATTTGCATGAAGGCCTAAAGCAATCAAACCTAATTTATAGGTATGGAAATTAAATCAGTGGTTGCTCGGTCCAAGAGGTGAATTAGAGCATGATTACAAAGAGGTGACAGATGATCTCTACGTCGATTGGGGAGGTGGTTATTCAACATATACATTTATCAAAACTTATTTATTAAACAGTACACTTAAATTTTTTTCCATTTTACTGGATATACATTATAGCTCAAAATAGTTAAAAATAATCTAGAGAATGGTCACTTGTATTTTTTCTTCAGTTAATAAGTGATAAAATTAATTTAGTGGATCTCAACCAGAATTTTTTAAATGAAATAGAGATGAGACTAGACTAGAGAATATCAGCATGCACTGCACATAATGTCTATTATTTTATGTAACTTTTGTTTCAGGTGTGTGTGTGTGTGTGTGTGTGTGTGTGTTTTGTAAGTTACGCAGTATTTTGTTTCTTAGATTCCACATATAAGTGAACAACCCAATATTAACTCAAGTCTGGTGTGTTTATTCTTCCACAGGGTTGGATCTTTTAATTATTGAATTGAGATTACATTTTGCATCATAGGGGACCATAGGGATTTATATTAGAGAAATTTTTGCCCAAACATTTATTCTCTGTTTGCCATGACTTTAGCACATATTTTTTTCTACTTAAAAAATATATTTATGTGATGCTTTATGACTATGAAGTACTACCACATTCATTACCTTATTCAATTTCCCTACCACCCTCATGAAGTCATCATCATTATCATGCCCATGTCATAGAGAAAAATATTGAAACCTAGCGAGGTTCTGGAAGAGCCCCTTCTTTTCTGACTTCCTGAAAGCATTTTTTTCTTGGCGAAGGTTGAGTGGTAGAGTTTTCAGCATTGCACATGACTGTTACCCCCCCACAGCTCTTTTATGCTGCTTTCCTTCCACTTCCACTTTTGGGGGATTTGAAAATTACCCCTTTACCTTGACATATCTCCAAGGGGAACGTGAAGAACTTCTGCCCAGACTGAGAAGTGTATCCATGGTTGCAGGTACAGTGAGTACTATTGACGCAGAAAGAATTTTGGGGGCACCGAGCACAGGCACCTGTGAGGAAAAGAGAGGCAGGTCAGATGTCACCAAGGTCAGAAGCTCTGCTGTTATCATTTTGCTTTGCCTCTAAACAGGACTTCTCAGAAGCTGAAGAAGGCTGCACCTTTTTCCTTTTCTGAGATCTCAGTATATATAAAAAAATTAGAGATACCATTTATGTACCTTATAAATAAGTTTAGTACCAAAAAGTTTAATACCCATCTGACAACATACACAATTATTATAATATTATTGACTATATTCTCTATGCTGTACTTTACATCCCTGTGACTATTTTTATATCTGGCAATTTGTACATCTCAATCCCTTTCACCTTTTTTACCCATCCCTCCAACCCTCTCCCATCTGATGACCATCAGTTTATTCTCTGTATCTATGAGTTTGTGTCTGTTTTGTGTGTTCATTTATTTTGTTTCTTAGATTCCACATATAAGTGAATTCATACAGTATTTGGCTTTTTCTGTCTGACTTATTTTACTTAGCATAATACTCTCTAGGTCCATCTATGTTGTTGTGTTGCAAGATTTCATAAATGTCTAACCACTGTTGTACACCTGAAACTAATATACTATTGTATGTCAACTCTAACTGAAAAAAAAATTTTTTTTAAATCTAAAAAAAATTGGAGATACCAAACCCAAGTTCTAGAAAAAAGTGAGATTCCTGCACACAATGAAGGATTAGGGTTAGCATTAAACAGATTAATTTTAACACAAAAATTTCACTGCGATGTAATTGTGCTATTCTTAAGATCATTGCAGAATTTATAAAGGAGAAATAAGTTGATTAAGACTTGAGACCCTGGGTTCAATTCTGGTTTCACCACTTAATAGCTGTGTGTCTCTGCATAAGTGTCTTAAACTCTCTGTGCAGCAATTTCCTCACCTGTAAAATGGGTTGTGAAGAATAAGTGAATTAATACACGTAAAGTGCTTTGGGCAGTGTCTGGCACATAATAAGTGTTAGCTATGATTATAAAAATTTATATTTGAAGGGCACCACAGGAAGTATATTCTGTTAATGGTGTATGTTTTATCTCCATAACCCTATGTATAACTTTATTTAGACAGAGATACACTAAATATCTTAATTTAAGCCTGCTCGGGAATGAATGGAAAGAATGGGGGTGAGGAAATATCTCGAGCTTTGGGTCTAGTGGAGAGACATGGGAACGGTGCAGTGCTGGGGAGTGAGTGCTGGGAACAAGACGGGAGAGCACTGTGCTGAGCCTGGCTACTCAGAATGAATCTTCTGGCTAGAAATGCACAATCTCAGCCCCCACCCTAGACCTGCTGAATCAGAATTTAGTGAGATTTCCAAGAGATGTAAGCTAACCTGAAATGATTATGTTCATATTTTGTTGACTTATGATCAGAATGAAATGGTTACCAGAGTGCTGTCTCTCCCCACTTGAATGTTTACTTCATGAGACTTTGTGTGTTTTATTCACTGTTTTATCTCCATAGTGGGCAAATTGTGGTTACTAAAAGCAAACAAATAGCCAAACAACAGTAAAATAAAAAGATAAAAGATAACCAAATTTGATGAAATGATCAATTAAAAAAACAACATAGGAGCAAATCTGAACAAGTTCTGTTTCCAAAACGAGCCCCTTTTCTCTACCCTGTTGGAGGATTTGGGTGGTTCCAGGTTCATCCTTGGTCCCCATCCTCCCTGGTCTCTGGCTATAGAAGAGCCAGGCTTTGAGCACTCACCTTCGGCCTTCTGAAACACAACTCCTGACAAACTCAGCAGAATGCAGAGCTCTGGAATAAAGAAGCAGAAAGGAGAGACATGAAACTGTTGAGGAAAGATTCCGGGAAATTCTCCAAGGGCTACACTTATTGGTTCTTTACCACTGCATAGCAAACTATCATAAAATGTAGTGGCTTAAAATAACAATGTTCTTATTATCTCTCATTTTACTATGATTTCTGTGGCTCAGAAATCTGGGAAGGTATTAGCTGGGTGGTTTCTTACATTGTTGCAGTTAGATAGCGGCTGGGGCGAGAGGCTGGGAACTGGCTGGGCATTACTGTCCCTTCGTGGGATCTCAGGGCCTGGGGTAGTTTGGGCTTTCTTCAAACATGGACACCTCGGTCAGGCTGCATAGGAATTAAGAGTTTATCCCTGCTCACCAACTAGTCTACTGTTGTCTCTGCCCATCACCCCACTTGGCAGAGATCCTTACATTACTCAGATGGAACATCACTTGTAAAATTCTTCATCTTTTAGCAGGAAATGAAATGGGACATCTCTTGCAGAGCTATTCTTTTTAGTAAACCTAGTTAAGTTTTCTTCCCTCCTTTCTTTGGAAAAAGGCTCTCTCCCTCAAATCTTGATAATTGCCCTGGTAACTCAGATCCTCTGGCTATTGATAAGGGTCA